GGGAGGGTAAACCGCGGTCTCTCACGGCGGAGGGCCTGCCCGCACGGCCGGGATTAGCGACCAACTGTGCTTGATAAACGCTTTTTTCCTCCTGTGCTGAGGTGGGGTCTGACCCGGTCGCGGTGGGTGCTGCAGGCCACACCCACCGACCCTTCTCCGCCCTGAAGCCATCCAGCCCGGTGGGGCTGCCTCCGGGGGCGCTGAGGGTACAGACCCTGCTGGGACTGGGCCGTGGCTGCCAGGAGGGATGGGGTCTAGCTGCCGGCGAGCCGGCTTTCCCAGCTGGGCGATGGTGGAGGCTGGCAGACAGCTGCTCCTACCTGTCCGTCAGCCCTTGGTAAGGGGGTTCGACGCTTTTTTCCACAGCATAGGTCCAGCGTTGCGGCAGCTCTAAGCAAACCCTGCTCCCTTAGCATGGGCTGCAGCAGGAGCACGTGGTCCGATGCTTGGGGTCAGTCCCTGCACACCTCCACTTCCCTGTGGATGAGCTGGAAACAAGGAAGCTGTGTGAGCAGGGACAGCCTTGCTGTGCTCCAGTGCCCCACAAAACCAGCAGGATCTGGGTTTCCTCCCTTGTTGCCTCCTGCCTCAAGTTCAGGGGGTTCAACTCTCCCTGAGAGTGCCAGCACAGGGGGTGCATCATCTTAGCTTAGCCCTAGGGTGAGGAGGACATGTTGAGAAAGGCTGTTTCCAGCTCTAGCAGGTTGTGCTTCTCTTTTCCAGGACCAGGAGGACAAGGACTTTCACAGAGACAAAAGCAGTGATAGCTTTGGGCAGCAACCTGAACTGTGGCAAACCACATCCATATTTCCCTCCTGTAATACACTCCCTTTATTTTTTAACTGAACAATAGCTTTAACATGCATAGCCCAGGTGCATTCCCAGAGGCTAACAGGCAGCAGAAAGCAGACACAGGGCTCTGATCTAAGGGCAAGTCTGTCCTTTTGAGGAACACATGCAAAAAGCATACCCAGTCATTCCCCCAGGAAGCCTGGTCTCCGTTTTGATAACTCGCATCAGACCAGAACCTCAGTCAATTGCTTCAAGAGCAGAGAGGATGAAAAAAAACCCCACCAAACCTCTTTCAAGAGAGGCATTACAAGTGTCTGCTCTTGATAAACAAGTTATTCCTTAAAACATGCACTGCCACCTGCTTTCTTTCCGTTAAGTCAGAAAAAGAAGAAAAAAAAAAAAGCTTTCAGGAGGTGGCCTCTGCATTTTGTAACACAAACTCCATGGTACTTGGTCAGTTATTACAGATAAAGATCAGATCAAGACAGTCCAAACCTATCTCTAGGATCTATTTAAGGGTTTATATTAACAGACTTGGAAACCAGCTCACTTAATCTGCAACCAATCATACGGACCAAGCTTCAGAGGAGCTAAACTAAATACACTGACACACAGTGTAGCTTCCGAAGATTTATTTTCAGTCCTTAAAGTAGACTGGTGCTGCTTTTGCTCATAATTTTTTCTCTCCATTACAGTTTTGGTTTTCATGCAAACAGTAGTGAGAGTGTTCTTTTTATTATTTAAAAGTGCAGCCTTTGGCAGGAGCGATCAGCCTAGCACAGTTAATCATCTGTACTTCCTTTAAAAATTTATTAAACCATGATTTTTAAAAAAAGTTAAAGCTGCCAAGAAAAGAGAAGGGAAAGGGCAAAGAGCAAACATCTGGATTCCAGAAGCTGTGTACGGAGCAGGAATCACCACAGTAACCAGAGTGTGGATAGCACAGTCCCAGCTACATCTGGGTCCCAGATCATACTCCAAACTCACAGCCATTCTTATTTTGCAGACTTGAGGGCTTATCCACTAGGGAAACGTTCCTGAGAGCCCACGGGACCAAGCTGAAACACATGCAGGCAGGGCTGCAAAATCCGAGGGATTGAGCAGCTGTATGAGGACAGATCCTCACCTGCCACTGGCCTGGCAGGGCTCACAGTTTAGTCACTCTGCTTCCTTTCACCTGAAGGTTCCATTTCCCCTAGGCCTTCCCCAGGGGCTGCGCAGCGTAACAGCAGGCTTGTTTCCACACTCGATGGGCACAACAGAAGACAACCACCCATTCAAGGTTCTGCTCCTTATCAGATCCAAGTAGAGATTTACCAGGAAGGGGGTCCCTAAGGTGGCTTTAATCATCCTCACTTGCAGTGGCTGGTGTTGCATCCACCAAGATCTGACCGCGGGATGAACCCAGGGAGCGGACAGAAGCTGTCCCTGCAGTCAGCCGTGCCCACCTCCAGGCGTAAGGGCCCCACAGGCAGACCTCTGCGTCCACGCACCTTCCCACGTACACCCAGCACGCGACTCTGCCGCAGAGGTGGGAGCCCAACGTGTGTTTTGGTGAGGTCAGGAGGGGAAGAACTAGTCCAGAGTCAGGAAGCGTAGGACGGAGCAGAGAAGGCACTTATTTCTTCGCACCCACGAAGCTGCTGTCCAGGGTTTTGCCAGAGAAGCGCCAATGTCTAGCAGCAAGGCCCTTTAGGAACCTGTTGTCACAAGCACAGCTCTGAATCCATACACTGGGAGGAAAATAGCTCCTTGTCTGAGAAATGCAGGAAGGGCAGAGGAAACAGTAAGATCACAGGTTTTTTGGGGTTTTTTTTGGTCTCACATTACACCTGGTGCTACAGCTTCTGTCTAACAAATCAAGTTGGCTAAGGGATGCAGCAGAAAGACACAAGCTGGGCAGCTCCAGCTTCCCTTGCTGTTCCTCTAAGGCAGGTTAGTTGAAAACTAGGACTGTCCACAGTGAAGAGTAACAAAGCATAGGTAACCTCTGTTACAGACCAGCAAAGCAAACAGTGACAATTTTCCAGCCTGTCTTCTTCAAGGGAGGCTGGCTATGTCTCTCTCTGGAGGTGGACCAGAAGGCTTTGGGTTGCTTTCATTGGCTTTTCCTTCAAACATCATGACCCTGCAAAACACAACAGATATAATACCATTGAAAAAAGCAGGTGTATCTTTACCCATCAGTGGGGGTGGGATTATCTTCTCTGCTGAAAATAGCACCTGCCTTCTATGCAAGGGCATTCGTTAATTAACAGAGAGGAGAAAGCCAACAGAGGGCAGTGCTGGCAGCCTGGCAGGCAGCTTTGCTTTTCTAGCAGCTTCCAGAAATGGGTTCCCAATGCCTCTGCTGGTTTTCCTCTCAGACCCCAGAGGATTAACATGTTTTATTTAGACAGCTGCTTCCAAAATCCCCTGAGCACACACTGCATGCCAAGTGCTCCTGATGCGTAAAAGCAAATACTGTCCCTGGCCCACCTTGTACATGACCAAACGGCAGAACATTCAAAAGCCAGCCCCAAGCAAGCAACAGCAATAACAGCCATGAAAGAGGGCAGAGACGAGGAGCAAGGCACTGGCTAGAAGAATCCCAAGCATTTTGCAACCACCAGCACTGTCTTCCTCCCCAAGGACTGCAGCTACGCTGGGAATGCCAGCTGCCACGCTGGATCAAAGGACCACACTGCTCTTGGGAAGAGTTTCACATTTCTGCTCCTGTTCTAAAGAGTCCAACAGACAATGGGGTGTCTGTTAACAAGAGAAGGGACCCATCTGTGAAAGCTGCTGCAGTTGGGAGGAAGGATGTAAGATATGGGACAGGCTGTAGGCTCAGCCTGCTTCTGTGGAGAAAGAAAGGAGGAGCAGGGGTGTCAGAAGTCTGTGTGTACATGGAAGAGGAACATCCCAACGTGCAGACACAGGGCACTCAGTGAGGAGAGGTGAGACTCCTCGCCAGCAAGCATGTACCAGCTTAGAGGGACCATGTGAGAGGTGGGCACAAGATCCTGCCTCCCAACCTGCCCTGAAAGCTGGCTGTGTTTCTAAAGCTGCCTTCAAAAAGGGGTCAGGGGGATGGAGAGGAGCATCTCCTATTCACGGTGGTTACAGACACAAAAGCAGGGCCAGCCTCTGTGGCTGTAAAAGGAAAAGCCAGGCTTCAATGGACCGGAGATGGAGCCAAGTAAGTGTTTGGATGCCATTTGTTACAGCAGGACTTTCAGAGCCTTGTCGAGAGGGCAGAGGGGGCCGTGGGAGGCTAGTGCTGGCAGCCTGTACTGCAGAAAACCTCTCCCAGCACAAGCCAGCTGTTTCAAGCATGTGTCCCATCTCCATCTACTGCCTGTCTCTCCAAAATCAGGCAGGGAGGGAACATCCTGTGGGGAATAGGAGCCAGCACTGCTGGTATTGGCAGGGCCATCATTCACCACAAGTCCTGCCACCGTTCACAGATGAAGCCTGTGTCCCCATAACCAGCAGGAGCCAGAGGAAAGAGACGGGAAGAAGTCCTGCAGTGCCGAGTGCCTGCACGCCCTCGGGAAAGGAGAGGAATTGCTCTGCATGGAGCACGTGGGAGGAAGCCTGTACTAACACACAGCAGGCAGCTCTGCTGTGAGCGCTCACCACTGCTCAGCTTAGACACAGACTTATACACCCTCTGATGTCTCTCTGCAAACTCCCCCTTCACAAAGGTCCTCGTCTCCCCTCCACAAACACCAAGCAAGCACAGCTCCACCTCCAACAGGCAGAAGAACTTCTGCTTCCCAGCTCCCCCAACAAACCAGTTCAGGTCCTGTGTCTCCCCCACGCCCTCCCAGGGACACTCACAGTTTAAGCACAGCAGACCGTTTGCCAAGCATCACGTTGACAAAGTCCTGGTATGAGATGGTCTCGCTAACCCCTCCAGTCACCTCAGAGATCATCTTCTTCAGTTCTAGGTGGGTCTTCGGGGCCCCCATTTTCTCCATCATTCTTTTGACAGACATCAAATCTGCAAGAGCAAGGCAATCAGTGCTGTTGAGAGGTGACCACACTGAGCACAGACCAGCCCCAGGAATGCAGGCATGAGTTCCCACCTCAGACCACCTCACCTGCAGGCTCTGGGGCTGACAGCACTAAGCTGTTGCTGTCAACCAAGAGAAGCCTTCCAGCACAGCCCGCTGCTGTACCACCCCGTACAGAGTATTGCTTCCCATTTGTGCAGCTCAAGATAAAAGCACTGCACATGCAGAAGAGGAACAACTCTCCAAGTGCACCAGAGGCACATGGGGACACTGCTCTCTAGGTTAGAGCGTGGTGCCAAGAATCGCAAGGGTGGGGAGGAGGGAAGCAACACCGGTATTAAAGCCAGAGACAAACAGGCTGTGGGGAGCAAGTGCCCCTGCCCATCACCACAGGCCATTTCCTTCCATTACTGCGGAGACCTGTGGCCCCTTCCCTCCCGGAAATGGCAGCACAGCCCTAAGTCAGGCCTCCTCCAGCTCCCCACAGGCTTTACTTCAGCTCCAGGACTGGTGGAGGAGGGGAACGAGGCAGCAGCCTCCTGGAAGGACACAGCATATGAGTGGTTGCACTTCAGTGTCAACTCCGGGCCTGCAGAAGGCTGGATCTTTATGAAACTGGTGCTTTCTGGGACCAAACCAGGGCTGCTCAGCTGAGCCACACTCAAACCCAAGTCCCCTGCTTCCCTCCCCTCCCAGCAAAGCAAACAGCTTCTTTGCACTAGAAGTGCTTATGGTTTTATACAGCTTCTCCTCAAGCCAGGCAAAACCCAGGATTGTCCAACCCTGCAGCTTTCCAGCTCTGGAAATGCTGACAATTGAGAAGGCCTTGGCAGAAAAACAGGGAGGAGACAAAAAAAAAAAAGCATTTAGAGCAGAAAGAAGTGGAGGAGCTAAGCAGAGACTCAGGAAGAAAACAGGACTGAGAAGAGCTTAGATCTTGAAGCAGGTGAGGAAAGACTGAGAAAGCTGAGAGGCAGGGGCTGGAGAGCCAAGGAAGCTCCGGGCTTGCAATCAAGATCCAAGCAAGGCTGGACACGGGAAAAGCCCACAGGCTTTCCTCCTCAGCAACACGAGCACAGAGAGAAGCAGCAGATACAGCAGCAGATGCCGCCTCAGCAGGCTGTTGCTCTTCCAGCCTAGCACCAGCATCCCTTAGTCACTCACCAATCTCGCCTTGGTTGTTCAGGTCAAACTCCATGTACTTCTCTGGAAGAGACACAGAAGCAAGTTAACAGGATGCTAGAGCAGGGGGTATGCAGGGCTTTGGAGTGCTGCCTGCTTAGAGCAATGAAATAAAAGATTAGGGGATAAGATTGATATACTGCTGAACGCAAACATTTCAGAGAGGGAGACCATCTCAAGACCTGTTTTTAGCACCCTTATCTCAATTCCAGGGCTCTAGACTTAAGTGCTCTTTAATTGTGGCTGCTTTTCATTTAAGCTGAAGGAAAACACTGGCATGAGAACAAGGTATCAGCTAGCCATGAATAGCATTAAAAGGTTTCCAGCCAGAAAAACAAAGCTCTGGAACAGCCTCCCAGAAGGAGTAGCAAGGAAAACAAAACTCTGAGCACTCCCAAAACAAAGCTTGATCAGATTAGGAGGGGGATTAAATGACATAGTTGCCTGCAGTAGCAAGGGACAGACTCTACAGTCCTCCCAACGCTGTGCTGCACTCCCAGAGCAGCACCTGCCAGCAGAGATGCTCAAGGACCACATCAAGAGGGCAAAGACAAGAACATGCCCAGGAGCAGTTACACGGGAGCAGGCCGTTTGCCCTTCCAGCCTGCTGTCAAACACTGCCAAACTGGGCAACTCCAGCATCCTCAGAGAGAGGCAGACAATGCTCAAGAAAGTCTGGTTAGCTTTGCAGGACAAAAACTGGCATGCCGTAACAGACAGATCACTGATTTGAGTCAGAAGAAAATCAGAATTTCAGTCCTGTGCTACTTCTGACCTTTGGAGTGGCACACCTATGTGCTTCCTAACCTGCCTCCCCACCCCCCACCCCTTGCTACCTGTTCCCCATTTAGACTTTAAGCTCTTCAGGCAAGGATTTGTCTGTTTTACAGACCACACAGCTCCTAGCACTGCAGGAGCCCCACCCCCCACCCCATCTCAGGTTCTGCTAAATGAGAAGAGCAAGATGCCTGCTGCCACCATCCATCCACACTGAGCTGGATAAATCTCCACCAGCCCTGCAGTTGGCACTCACTCCCCAGAACAGCCTCAGAGGACTCAAATTTTAAGTGAGACCTCCTGGGCTGCTCCTTTTACCCAAGGGAAAAGACCTTTTTCTCTCTGCTCTAGGGACACCAACAGCAGAAGAGTGTGAACAGAGAAGTGGCAGGCTAATTTAAGCAGCCAAAGGGAAGAGGAGATATTTGACACAAAGCCCTCCCAGGACCTGTGCTTCTGAAGGAAAGCACTGGGTTAACTGGACTGATGGGCAGCCACAGGCAGGAGGCAGAGGAATGGCTTGGCATGTCTTCACCTGGGTCTCAGCTCATGGATTACTGTCATGAGCTGACCAGGACAGACCTACAGGAGTGCCACATACAAACCAAAGCTGTTCATGCTTCAGGCAGGAATAAATGTCTCCCTTCAAGCATTAAGCAACCAATCTTAGATGACATTGGAGCTGCCACACATGTGCTTAGGGGCCAAAGCAATGCTTGATGTGGAACTGGCTCTCCCCACACTGCCCCACCATAATGACCCTGTGCAAATGAAATGCCGCCTCCCTGGGCACAGGTCATGCACCCCAGCATGTGTTCGGGGACACAAACCCTGCTCTGCCGTGTCCGTGCCCAGCACATTTTCTTTTCTTCTCAGCTGACACTTAGCCAAAAGTGCAGAGAACAGAGGCAGGTTTACATCATCATGCTCTAAGCCTCAGCTCCCACATTCATCTTTCCCTCCCATCCCAGCTGTAGGGATTTGGCGAGGCAAAACCATACATGGTCTCTCCCCTCACAAATGCATTTACACACACACTGCATGGGAGCTCCCCGGGGCCCAGCTGGGGAAGGACAGCAGAGGAGAAATGCTTCCCCCCATCATCACACAATGAGTTGATTGTTGGATGAACCAGAGGAGGCATTGGAGAGCGGGACAGGCCACGGAGGCAAACTCACAAGGCAGCAGGAAGAGATGCCAAAGGCTCTCGTTACAGGAAATTCTGCGCCTGTGACCAACAGTTGCAATGTTTGAAGAGCCCCAATTGTGATGGGAAAAATAATGCGGGGCTGCAGCCAAAAGCCAAAGCCATACAAAAGGCAACAGAAAAAGAACAGGGGGCACAGGAGGCTCCTCTGTGCCCAGCAGGGTAAGGGATCACAAAACCCCAGCCAGCTTCTTCCATTCTGGATTGCAAAGCCAGAATTCAAAGCGAAATAGCAGACAATGCCTGAAATGGAAGCAAGGTCAGGCTTTATTTGGTTAGAGCCAAGCTGAGGATAAATCTTGAGGGCACTGTGACACAGAAGGCATGTTTTCTCAACTGCCTTCAGCCACTGCTTGGAAAGAAAGTGGATGTACCCAGAACAGCCCTGCCAAATCTTGTCCTGTAACCACTTCGGGGACAAGCTCCAGAGGACCCCCCGCAAAACCAGGCTTTTGAGCAATTTCTCTATCCCCCATACCAGCAAACAGCCCAAACCCAATCCCAAAATCTGCTGACCGCCTGGAGTTAGACAGGCATTGGATAGGACTAGGGACACATTAACTGCTGTTGCCTCCAGTACCAGGGGGCTCAGGAAGGACCAAATCAGACTGAAGAAACTTTTGGGGAGAGAAAGGCCCCAACTCCTTCAGGAAGCTGCTGAAACCTTGGCTCTGTGGGAAGAGGTCCTCCTACTCACTAAAAAAAATAATAAAAAAACAGTCCAGCTACTGCATCATCCATTATAACAGCCAGCTTGTCTAGATATCTGGACAGAAACTGTTCTCCTTTGCTGCTCCCCAGAGTTTTGCCCACACAGCAAGTTTTGCAGTAATAGCAGCCGCCAGGCAGGATGTCTACAGGGCGACATGTCCCTGTCCTGCAAGTGGGGGAAGCACAAAGGCTCGTGTGGGGAAAACCACCTCTCTGGGGAGTTTCGCTGAGCCCCACAAGCAAGGGGAGGCATCCATCCCAACTCAGTCACTTGTATTTGGCAGAGAATCTCAGGCTGGTAAGATTGAAGTGCTGAGGAAAATAATCTGTTCAAAGCAAATAGTCAGGCTGAAAGGACAGGGAAACCCTCCAGTTCTCACCTTTGAACACTGCCAACTTCTCCTCCAGATCTTCTTCATCACTGAATTTTGGGTCACAGAGAAATTCCTAAAACAGGAGGAAAAAAATAAAAAAGGAGTATCCCCAAGGTTAAAGATATAAAGGAAAACACCCTAGAGGGCATGTACAAATGCAGCGTTACCCAGAAGACCTATGCAATTCCCAGAGAGCCACATCTGAGAAACAGTGCCAGGAGGCTTGAAAATGGGTTGAATCCCTCCACACCTTGTCATTAACATTCCAGTGCAAGGGAATGCCTCTGGTGTCTCAGATTGCCCAGCAACAGCCTGAGGGAGGACTGGACCCCACGTGCTTTTTGGATACCCCCTCTTCTTGCTCACCCAAGGTTTCAGCTCTCCTCATCTCTGCTTAAGCACGCACAGCGCATGGATTGGGCACCTATTCCCATTCCCAGCAAGGGCTCCTAGTCCTTGCAAAAAGCACTCTGATCTCAGATTTCAAACTCTTGGATAAACTCTGAGGACTAGCAAATAGAACAGGCAAAGTTTGCAGAACATCATTTACCCAGGAGAGAACAGGCATTTTGGGGTAAGGAACAGGCTCTCACTCTCTCTGACCATGTATCCATTTTTCCCCTGAACCTGCTCAGGCTGGAGAGGAAAAATCCTGTGTCACTTCTGGTCACTTATCCCTAGCCCCACCTCAAAAACCTTCATGTACCTGAAGGAACAGACCACAACCTGCAGAGCCAGCTCCACTGCTATGCCCTGCCAGCAACACCCTCCTGCAGCTGTGAGCAGCGGGGTCTTGCTCCTGTCTCTACCCTCCCACACCACCCAGCTCCAGCAAGCCCAGCACAGCTTAATGACTCTGTGTTCAGCAACACCACCACATTCTTCAGTGCAGAAATCATTACCATCTGCATGGCTTATGCACTGCCTGTCCAGGATAAAACCCCTCCAGGGGTTAGCATGGACAGAGGGCTGAGACTGTTCCCTGCTCTGGGCATGTGTTCCTCTCCATGCTTACAAGGAAGGCAGGAGTGGGCCCCCAAGAGACTAGGATGCCCGGCCTCAAACCTTCACTGCCAGTTAGCCACCACTTTGGCGAGCCCTTTATGTGCAGCTAAACTAAGGTTTTGTAGGAAGCCCACTAGGACAGAAGTGACTGTCGTCCCCTCCTCCCATCTCACAAACTCCAGATGGGACACCAGAAACCGTGCCCACTAAACTGGCGTGACACACACTTCCCTTATCACCATGGACACCAACTCAAATTGAGAGCTGTGGTGAAAAGCAATGTTCCCAGTTCCTTCTTTTGCTCTCCTTTGCCAACTCAATTTTGTTTCTCAGTTATTTCTACCCAGGGGTATTGTTTGCCAGCCCAACACAAAGGGCCCAATTCAGCTTTGAGACCTGGGCTCAGCCAGCAGCAGAAGTCACCAGAGAGCGGAGTAGTGTTACCTACTGCCATTGCCACTCAACAGCCTCTGTAGAAGGAACCTGCCAAACACCACTAAGAACTAAAACAGGGCCAAAGCACCTCCAGGTCACAGCTTCATTCCTGCCCTGCAGGAGCAGCAGACAGCTTCCACCTACCAGCAGGACAGGGGATGTGAGAGCAAAGTGCGGTATTTCTCCAGGAGCAAGAAGCAGTACAGAAATGGTGAAGAGTGAAGGGAACGCTACATCCACATGGGATGGCTGAGGGACACGTGCCCAGGGGACTAACAGCCCCTGGCAGCATGGTACGAGAGCAGGATGCGTGACACCGGGTACACAGCTAGGACACCATCCCCTTGCATTTCAACTGGAGGGGAACTGGACAGCCCACAGGTGTCACAGCTCTGCTCCAGAGCAAAGGAAGCAACAGGGAAGCATATTCCAAAGGCATTTCACCCTCCACATTGTACATGAGCTGGGCTGTGACTGCAATAAGGCAAACACTCACAATAGCACACAGGAATTCAGTCCCCAGGGCCTGTGACTCAGACTCAGCCAGAGTGGCTGAAGTTCCTCCTAGAGCCCTTTGTTAAGTTCCAATTTTAAGGTACATGTTCTGTTAATAAGAACTGCTTAATAAGCTGCAGCTTCTCCCCCACTCCTGCCCTGAACAGCCTTTCTTGGGCAGAGAGACTTTCCTAAGCCAATAAATTCAGCAACCCACGTCCCAGCTACCTGCAAGACAGCCTGAGCAAAGCCAGATCCTTCCTTGCTCCCCAAAAAGGCGTCTCCAACAGCAGGCCAAGCTCTCACTGGGCTGTCTAAGTCTCAACGCCAGCTGCCATGCCTGCTGGGGCTGGGAAGATGCTGAGGGATGCTCACGCCTGCCCTGGATGGGAGAAGCAGGCACCTGCCCTCTGGGAGGCTGAATTCCTTCCCCGCAGCTCAGCGCATTAGAGGGTAAAACTAGGTTGAAACTAATCTGTGCTGGATTAGACTTGCCACCTTGATGCACGAGGCTGAACAATGTGATTGCGGTTCCCTAGGAAAAAGGGAACGGCCAAGAGGGGATCCCAGAGGAGCATTTCAGGCTGGAAGACAGAATTCAATACTAGGACTCAGCCATCCTTCAGCAGCACGGATGCACTCAGGGCGTTGCCTGCCAAAGACCCTTATCTCAGCAAGAGCTCTGGGGTAGAAACCAGCCAGGAAAACAAGGCTGGGAGGGAGCTAAGTGTTAGGATGAGACAATGAGATTAAGCCTGATAGGAATGTGGCTTGATAGGTTTTATTAGGAGCACTTTACTGGTTTGCAGCCCTGGGGCTGTTCAGGGCTTCGGAAACCCCCTCCCTGGCTCCAGCCACAGTATCAGCCCAGGTTTACCTATCAGCTCCATGTCAGAGAGAGGTGTGAGCTGCTTTGCTGCGCTCCCACTCACAGCAAACTCCCCCACCGCCGTCCCATCACGCTGAGCTGGCAGAACGAGCAGAGCCGCTACAGCACAACGGCTTCTCAGGATCTGTGGGCAG